TGGGGCTGTCACAGGAGACCCCAAGAGCATCTCTCCCTCCTTCCTCTCAGTAGAGAAGGTGGACAGACACTGGCCTCATAACCAATGACCAAGGTAGGACTACTACCTAAATGTTTACTTTTGCACCAATCTCCAAATTTTATCTAACTTCAGTTTCTGCATTTGTACAACAGGTACCAAGCAGCAGCAATTAGCTGTCTGTTGAGAACTCTTGATAAAACAATGGCTGTAAGAATCTTTTGAACATGGCCATGATACTAAATCCCAGAGCAGGCTTGAATTCTGTGACCTCAGTTTCCTCACGTATAAAATGGAATGACAATTTCCTCTTCTCTGGTTGTTGTTAAGAATGAATGTGCTGGTACGTAGGAGAGCACATATGAGTCAGAAAATGTTTATTAGGATCTTCCCTCCCCTAGCGAACAGCTATGGGGACTGGCTAGGGTGGGAGGGGTCCTGGTTACTGAGGCCACTCCAGGACAAGTCCCTGCAGCTCCTGTTCTGAGAGAGTGTAGTGTAGCAGCAGGCTCTGCCCCCAGCTAGCCTGAAGCTGAGCCTCCTGGGGCCCTGTGTGGCCTAAGACAGGTCCTTCACCCCCCTGAGGTCAGGTGGACATTGGGCAGGTCTAGCTCCAGCCCCTGGTTTTGTCTGCCCCAGCCAGCACCTTCCCAGACTCAGCCAGTCCTGGGCTCCAGTGCCAAGAGAGCTTTTTGCCAAGGCTCCACACCTGGCTGACTACAGCGGCCTGTCAGGTGGCTGTGTTGCTCTTACCTCACAGAGGCATGTTTCTGGGCCCTTCAGACTGGCTGAGGTATGTGTATACTCAGGCAATGTGAACTCTGACTAAGGTTCTCTTGGTGGTGGTGGTGGTGGTGGTGGTGGTAGTGTGCTGTGGAGTTGGTTCCAACTCATGGCGACCCTGCACAGGGTTTCCGAGGCTTGGAAACCCTGTGCAGGGTTGCCATGGGTCAGAACCGACTCGATGGCACTTAACAACAACAACAAATCTTTACAGGAGCAGAAAACCTCATCTTTCTCCCACAGAACAGCTGGTAGTTTTGAACTGCTGACCTTAGCAGGCCAGACTAGTAATCACTACGCTACCAGAGCTTCTCTTAGGGCCTGGGAAAGTTAGGTGAACAAAAGGGAGGGAAAGGAGGAAGGTACTGGGAGAGAAGAGAAGGCAGAACAAAGATAAGGCAGAAAGGGGAAGGATTATAGGGGGCTTCATTTGTACCATTTCACTGATCCCCCACAACACTTGGGAAGATCAGGAGGACTGGGTTGATGGGTGAGGAAGCTGAGGCTCAGAGAAGAGCTGGGGGATCTGATATCCCCATGCTATCCCTCTTCTTGTCTGCCCATCTAGTCAGTCAGCCATCCGTCCTGGCTACACTGCTACCCCTAGTCTTCTTCCACGTCTCCACCATGAAAACTGACAGTCCCTGGGGTAAGAAGGGAGAGAAGGTGATGGTGGTGGAGAAGTATCCTGTAGGAGAAGCAAGTCTTCCTGGGTTCAGTCTTCAGGGTAGATGGCAGACCCCTCGGCAGAGTGAGTGTGTGTGAAAACACGAAACCAGGTTCCTAAGTCTGGTATCAGAGTTGCCCTATGAAAGGGTAAAGGGGGAGAACTGAGGGAAGGGGACGCACACACGGAGAAGACACAGCCCCTGGGATACAACTGAAGGTTAGTGTGTGGCTCAGAATCTCCAGAGATGTGCAAGGTTTGTTTGCTGGGTTCACGTGTACACAGGTCTTTGTGAGCTCACGGACGCGTGCAGAGAATGGAAAAATCAAACAAGGATTACGGCGCCCCCTGCTGGCCAAAAATCCCCACCCACTTACAACTTGTCAGCCCGAAGCCCAAGTCGGACCTGCGCTCTGACTGTGCAGCTATCGCCCCTAGAAGTTCAAGGCTTGTGACTCCCCCTGACTCGGTGCCCCACATACCCTCGAGGGTCTGTAGCCCCTGGGATCATTGTTCGATCCGTCAGAGAAAGGAACGCAAGTTGCGGGTCCAGTTTTCCAGTTCTCGCTGTGCCTATACCAGTTTCCTCCGGGATTGTGGGGTTGGGGTGGACTGGGTACAGACGTTCTGGTGGTCCCAGAGCATACAGGCCTGAAAGATTCTGTGTGTCCTACACCTCAAGCGCATTTCCACCACCCAGTGTGGCTGGAGCCCAGATCCTGGACTTGTGGAAGACAGAGCGCAGCAGCTACATTTGGGAGGACGAGGTCCCTAGCCCCTGCTGGCCGGAACTGGAAATTGCAGGACGGCTCCTTACCAGCACGGGAGGGGCGTGGGGGAGAGAAGGATAGTGCAACTCCCTTGGGGGAGGGAGGTCCTGTGGCTTTCAAAGGAACTCTGTTATTTGGTGTACGAACTGGTAGCATCATAGTGGTTATGAGTTGGGCTGCTACCTTCAAGATCAGCAGTTCGAAACTACCAGTTGTTCCACCGGAGACAGATGAGGCTTTCTGCTCCGTCAAGATTTATAGCCTCAGGAACCCTAGTCAGGGTTGATGTGAGTCGGGGCCTACTCCATGGCACACAACCACCACCACCAAGCATGTGAGGGTGAGGAGCCCTAACTAGGCATTGGGCCGCTAACCCCAAGGTTGGGAGTTCAAAACCACCAGCTGTTCCCAGACAGATGAGGCTGCCTTCACCTGTAAAGATTTAGTCACCATCCATCAGAATCAACTCAATGGAGGTAGTTATGGGGAAGCATATGAAGACAGGATCTGTGGAGGCACAATGGTTAAGTGTTTTGCTGCTAAAGTCAGTGGTTTGAGTCTACCAACTGCTCCATAGGAGATCTGCTCCCATAAAGATGACAGTCAGGAAACCCTATGGGGCAGTTCTACTTGGCACTATGAGCTGGATTCAACTCAACCACAAATAACAAACATGGAACCAGCGGGCAGAAATTTGCGGCAGTTAGCTTCTATAAAGATTTGCAACCTTGGAAATCTTATGGGACAATTCTACTCTGCCCTATAGGGTCACTAGGTGTTGAAATCCACTCGATGGCAGTGGGATTGATTGATTTATTTTCTGGGTGATGCAAATGGTTAAAGCATTTGACTACTAACTGAAAGACTGGAGGTTCAAGTCTAGATCTGCATAGGAAGAAAGGCTTGGCAACTTACTTCGGGGGGAGAGGGGAATCAGTCATTGAAAACCCTGTGGAGCACAGTTCTACTTTGACACACGTGGGGTTGCAATGAACTGGAAGTGATGACCCCCTAGCCCCTGGGATGGACCCTTACCAGTCAGGGTTTATACTTTCTCCAACCCTTTCCATCTTCTGGCTTTACTGACTCCTCCTTTTCTGAGGCAAAAACCACCAGAGGGAGAGGCAATAGAGGAAAACACAGGTTCATAGAGTCCCAGAACAGGGTGGGTGTGGCTGAAATCCCAGACATAGCATGTCATATATGTGCTCGTTTCTTTTCACACTGGTTTACTGAGCACTCACTATGAGGTGCCTGACCCTGTTTGTGCAAACGTGTTCTTTACATCCATTATCTCATTTTATCCTCACAACAGCCCATAAGGGAGGTAAAAGTATTCTATTTTACAGATGAGGCATCTAAAGCTCAGAGAGTTTACCTATGTTACCCAAAGTTGCAGAGCAAGATTGATATGTAAGTTGTATGACTTCAAGTCAGTCCTTAAATATGATTCTTGTGCTGAGTCTTGAGCTGCTCATTTGCAGGACCTAGAATCTTAAGACGCCCACCCTTTAACCCTTGGGGAGCTGACCTGTCTCAGGCACTACAGTTCTCTGATCTACAAAACAACTGTGAGGGAAGCAGTTTTTTATAAGTGTGTATGTGTGAGAAACATTTTAATCCCCATTTTACAGGTGAAGAGATGGAGGTTCAGAGAGTTTAAAGGAGCTTGTCATAAGTGTCAGTGGTAACAATCAAGGAGCAGGAAGGGCAGAGCTCAGGGGCCCAGATGGGATTCAGTGGGGACATGATGGGCAGAGGCAGGAGAGAGGGGACTCAGAGAAGGTGTTGGTCAGGTGTGACATGTGTGTGTAGAGTTGCTCCATCTGAGCACAGGCTCCTGTGATGTTGAGGTGCAGAAAGAGGAGCCCAGGATGACCTCGTCCTCAATGACAAGACCAGACTGGTCACACTCTTGGCATCTTGATGGGCTGCTGGCTGGTCCACTTCTCCTCCACTCTGCCTGGTACACCCTGGTGCTGGTGCCAAGCTTTCAAATGGCAGAGACTTGACATAGGTGAGGGTAACACAGACAAGGACCCCTCCTTCTCTGCTCCTATTGCCCCCTCCGCTCTTTCTCTCTCCATTCCACTGACTTTCTAGGATGCCCTGACCTCAGTTTCCCAGTCTTTCCACAGAGAACTTGTTCAAGGGTCCTGTTGTGCTCTGTGGAGATTGGTTGAGGGGTCAATGACAAAGAGAAGACGCAATGATCCGGGGTGGGGGTGGAGGTGGAGGTCTCAAGAAACTTCTAGGGCGAGATGAAAGCAGAACTTGTATCAGATTTATTGGGAAGCCCCTACCTTCAACATCAGCAGCCCTGCCCCACTCATCTTTGACCAGAAATAAATAAGGAACCATTTTATGAACCAGTCTGTGTCCCTCCTCAGAAGCTCTATGGGAGGGTCCACTTGCCTCTGCTGTCACAAGGGCTGTGATCCCTTTGCCTGGATCATGGGGAAAACAGACTACAGGCCATTCCTTCCTGGCCTGGCCCTGGGGCAACCTGGGAGTGTCCCACAGCATTGACAATCTCTGAGGTCTGACCTCAGAGCAGCACAGTCTGCCCTATCCCAGAGAGACCCCCTCCTCTCACCCCCAGCCCAGGAGCTCTGTCACGGGTCCCTGCTCCCTGTGCTCTAACTGTGCAGCCTGGGGAGCCAGCACCTCTTCCCCAGTCAAGAGAACTCGCTGTGGGGCAAGAAAGCTTTGTTGTCACATGTGGCTCAGGGGCCGAGGGCCTGGGCCCTGCCTGATGCTAGTCAGTGGGCGGTCAGCTCCATGGTCTTCTTCCGCTCCTCCCGCTGCTCCTCCCAGTCCTCCTCTGGCTGGTACGTGCCCTTAAGCACAGCCACCCGCTCGCTCAGGCTCAGGGAGTTGGGGAAGAGCAGGTAGAAGTAAAGGAGGGCCGCCAGGATGGCTCCCACAATGGGTCCCACCCAAAATACCTGGTGGAGACAAGGCTGTGGTCAGGGGCTGGGCACTGGCCTCAGAGACCAGAGGGAAAGACCTACCACCTCAGAGACAGATATGCTGACCCCTTACCCCAATGACAGCGATGTGCACCACAGAGGAACAGGAATCCAAAAGAAGCAGATGGGCAGATCCTCAGAAGGACAGGTTCCCTCCACCACACCCCAAAGAAAGACAGACAAACCTTCAGACAGAGTTCAAAAATGAGACAAACAGACAAACATTGTGGAGAGGGAGGAGATAAGCTCTCCAAGAAGGTGACAGATTATTCAGGAAGACTCAAGAGATAAAGCACCAGAGAGGACAGACAGACGGACCCCAGAGGAACAAACCCTTTCCCCCAGAGCTACAGACACAGAGAGCTTCCTCCAAGACCCCCTGTGCTCAGGGATTTGGGCCATATTACCCTATCCCTGCCTCCCCTTGTTCTAGTCACATGTTACCGGCTAATTTCTCTCTGGGTCCCACCCCAAGCTCTGTGTCCCACAGCATCCAGAAAGCCCAGTCCCTCATGACAGGGAGCTGAGGGAGGGCCCAGACTCACCCAGTGCACAGGGCTGAACCGATTCATGACTACTGCAGGTCCGAAGGAGCGGGCTGGGTTCATGGAGCAACCAGTGAAGTAGATCTGGATAGAAACAGGGAGGTGACACAAGTAAGGTCCTCATCCCACACATGGGTCCAGGGCTCTCCCGAGGTCAGCCAGGTCTCAAATTCTCAAGTCTCTTGTTTCCTAGGTTGGTGACTAATTCCTCCATGGATCCCATCTGCCCCATTAACACCCTCTCCACTCTTCTATGCCCTGAGCTTGGGCTTGATTCCTGTCCTCACTTCCACCCCATCCCATTCACTGTCTCTCACCTACGCCAAAGAAGGTTTATGTTGTTTTTGTTTTTAATGACCAAGCCTGGATCAGGGTTCAATGTTCTCAAACCTAGGCCTTAAAGTCAGCTGGGTTCACTGGCCCAGGGTGACATCCTAGAGCCCCCTTTACTTGCCCTGAGTGATAAAACTGCTCACCCCCACAAGGTGGCCCAGTGTGACGGACAGACCAATGGACAGGGCTGGGGACCCCACAGGACCAGTGCGGCGGGAGTCAGTGGAGGAGAAGATGCAGAGTGCCAACTGGAAGGTCAGAATCATCTCCACCACCATGGCTTTGCCCGGCGTTGTGTTGTTGTTGAGCTGTGAGGGGAGGGTGGGTTAGGATCCCACAACCAACCTGCCTTTTTCAGGCTCTATGGCTAGGGGTTTGGGAAGAAGTTTGGCCTCTAAGGAGACCTAGAGTCCAAGCACCTGGAATTCAGAAGTCCTGAACTCAACACCATCAGCACAACCAAGCCCTGCACACGCCACCTTAGGGTGGCCATTTACAGAAAAAACTACGCACTTTACCATTTGCACAAGTTTGAAGCTCAGGCCTGCGGCCAAAGAGACGAGTGTAAGGGGAACTTTTCCTGGACACAGTCCTGTCAATGGTTCTGCCCAGTCTCCAACCCCCACAGCTGACAGTTTACCCTCCCTCCCTGTGGGCAGCTGCCCAGTTTACCTATTGCACCCTCATCCGGGCCTCCTGCCCATGCCTGACCCGCTGTGGGTGCCAACCTCAAACCCGTCTCTCTGATGTGGCTGACTCATGGCTTCACAATGGCCGAGAAAACTCTCCTCTGTGTTTGGTTAATGAACCAGTTTGCATGGAACATGGGGGCTGACTCTGGGACTTCAGGGGGTAGGGAGACAGAGTAGGACTGGACGAGGGGTAACCAATATTTAACAGAGACCCCTGGGCATTGGAACCACATTAGGTTGTTCACATCTGTGGGTGCTAAATATAACCCTTTAACATCTGCTGTGGTAAGTATGACCATCTGGTGCAAATGGTTAAGTTCTCTGCTGCTAACTGAAAGGTAGATGGTTTGAACTCACCCAACAGCTTCAAGAGGGAAAGGTCTGGCAATCTGCTTCTGTAAAGATTGTTGTTAAGTGGCGTCGAGTCGGTTCCGACCCATAGCGACCCTGTACAGGGTTTCCGAGGGTGTAAATCTTTACCGGAGTAGAAAGCCTCATCTTTCTCCCACGGAGCGGTTGGTAGTTTTGAACTGCTGACCTTAAGGTTCGCAGCCCGATTCGTAACCACTACACTACCAGAGCTCCTACAGCCTAGAAAACTCTGTGGGGGCAGTTCTACTCTGTCACATGGGGACTCTATGAGTTGGAACCCATGCCACAGCACCCAAAAACATGAATCGTTGAGAAAAATGAGGTATAAAAAAGCCAAGGTCTCTGATGGTTCCCTTACACCACTCCGCTGAGGAGCCCCAAAAGGTAGAAATCAGCAGTGAGACAAGAGGAAAGGCAGGAGTACTAGGAGAGAGGCCAGGATGGGACAGCAAAAAGGGGAGTGGGCAGAAGAGGGTGGACATGGGCCAGGGAGGCACACACCGACCTGCAGTTTCATCTTCCTGGCTTTAGACCTTCCTAGTAAGGGTGTGCACTTGCCCCTCTGTAGCACCCATTCTCTAGATGGGGCATGGCCTGGCCCAGAGCCCACTGCCAGAGTCCCGGCTCCCACCCTCAGCCCTGTGGGCACTCACGGCGTTGACGGCCAGGTTGCCCCGGGCATTGAGTGGTGCCAACCAGTAGAGGATGCCGGCCCCCGCAATAGCGCCCACCAGCTGGGCTACCACGTAGAAGGTGGCACGGAGCAGTGAGATCTGGTTGCCCACCAAGAGGGCGAGGGTGACGGCGGGGTTGATGTGGCCTCCACTCACGGGCCCCAGGGCTTGGGCCAGCGTGCCTATGGCCAGACCAAACGCCAGCGAGATCTGCAGGATGGAGGGCAGCGCCGACGGCCACTTGAGGGCTGAGCCGAGACCGAAGAAGACGAAGATGAGGGTGGCCAGGAACTCAGCGAACACGGCCTTGAGGAAGGCCACAGAGCACACCTCCTTCTTCATGGTGGGCGCGGGGGGCCGACAGCGACGGCCGCGGCGCTGGGCGCCCGTCGGGGCGGAGGCGGTGACGGCGGCGGGGGTCAGGGGCTGGTTCCTGGGCGCGGCGCGCTCTCTCGCGCCCACTCCTTGCCGGGTGGCCAGGCGCTGGCCCTGTAGGGGCGCGCTATATAGAGGGCGGGCGGCCGGGCGCGGGACGGGCGCGGGGGGGCAGGGGGCGGCACCCACGCGCGGGGCCCAGAGCCGCTGGCTGGGCGGGTCGACGGCCGCGGACCCGCCGCAAGCCCCCGCCCAGCGCGCCCCCGGCCCGCCGCAAGCCCCCCCGCCGGAGCGGCCACGGGCCCTCCCAGGCCACGTGACCCAGGCGGCAGTGTACTGCGGCCCTGCGGCTGGGACCCGGCGCATGGTGCGCCCTGGCGGCTCCCGCGCGCTCTCCGCCGGCTCCCGTGTGCTCTCCTCGCGTTCGTCCCTTCCCCCGGGGTTCCCTGGGAGGCTTTACTGAGTTTAGGCTCCCCCGACTGAACTCTGGCCGTCTACCTCCTCTTGGCCTTTATTTCCGTTCTGGGTTTTCCTGTTTTCTCCTTTTCGGGCCCTTGGTCCAGCTCCTTTTCCTTCTGATAGTTTGGCATCGCGACCCGGCTTCAGCCAGGTGAAGTGATGTGTTTCACTGAGGACAGCGCCACTCAGTCCTAATCGTGGTGGCAGGGGCGGTCCAGGTTAGGCCAGCCTCCTGGGTTCGAACGGAAACACTGGGAAATCCTCGACGCCCTGTAGCCGGGCGGTCCCTGGAGGAGGCGGTGACCCACGGAGAGAGGGTCCCTCGGCGCCAACTCCCGACGTCTGTACCAGCCCCTCCCGGGACACAACCTTCTTGGGGATCCCGGCAAGTCCACGCAGAGACGACGGGTGGGGTTGTTGTTCACTTTGTAAATGTTGTAAGTGCCCTAGAGTCTGTTCCGACTCATAGGAACCCTGTATAGGGAGGTTTTCTGAGGAGCAGCTGGTGGATTTGAACCTCCAACCTTGTAGTCCAATGCTTATCCTACAGCGCCACATCAGGATTCTACCTTGTAGATAGGGAAGTGGTTTTCACCATGTAGATAAGTGGGGAGGGGCACGACTGGGTTCTATTTTAATTTGAGTCAGGGAAAAGGTCTTGGAATTCTGGACGCTGGAGCCTGCGTGTGGGGAGGATGCAAGCGCCCAAGGGTGTGTGTGTGCAAGAGCAGGCCCCCCCCCCCAATCTTGACCTCTCTTCCCTCCCTTCTGGAAGCCCATCACCAACACGGTTTCCTCTGATTGTCTCCTCACTCAGAGTGATTTCTCATCCGCTTTCTATTTTTGCTTCTCCTCTTTTTCTTCTTCAGTCTTTCTCCCTCTCATATCATTCTCACTCAGTGTCTTTTTGGCGCTTTGTTGTTAGCTGGTACCGACCCTCATTACCTCTGTGTTTCTCAAATTCTCCATTACCTCCTCCTTCCTCCTCTCCTTTTCCAGCTTTAATCTGTCTTAGTCTTCTTCGGCACCTCTCAATTCACCTCTCACATTCTATCCCTACCCCCTCTCTAGTTCACCTTTTCTTGGCTTTTGCTCATTTCTGTACTGTTCTTTGTTCTTCCCTGTCTCTGCTCCATTTTCCATGTCTATCTTACATGTGGTTGTTTTCCGGTACCCCCAAAGTCAAATCTCCTACACGTTGACTGTTGAGTGGGTAACCCTTTCTTATAGTATCCAACCTCTCCTCTGCCCCTCCCAACCCTTCCTTTTCCCACCCCCCAAGTGTGGTATGTGGAGAATGAAGTTAGAGGGCTGTCCCGGACATGGAAGAGGGCAGGACATGGAGGAGGGGCAGGGACCCACCCCTTGGAGCCTGTGCAAGGAGCTAAACTTCGTACAGTGTCTAGCAGAGTAAAGCTCAGTAACATTTCCTTGTGTCATGATCATTTGAAAAGCTCACTGAGGGTTCTATGTGGTGCTGAGCTGGAGGGAAGTTTCCTGGCTGGAAGATGCAACAGAGACAGAGAACAGGTGCCTCTTTGGTCAGGCAAGGGTTTAGGGGAGGGGCCCTGAGGAAAGCCAAGGACTTGGAGAAGTGCGCTCTGGCCTCCGTGGCAACTAAGAGGCCAAAGAAAACAGGGGCCAAAGAAACCTTGCTATTGTTCACCTGCTCTGCTCTGGCATTTCCTGCTGGAGCAGCTCCTCCCCCACATCTGTCCACTTAAAGCAGGAGATCTATCAGTCTTTTCTTGAATGGGTCCCAGGGCCTTGCTCCCAGCAATGCAGGGCAGCTCTATCCAAGATTTGCTCCTGGGCCTGAGGTTCAGTGTTTGGGGTTGTCTTGGCACAGAGTGGGATGATGATCCAGAGCCCTTGGGGGGTCAGGACCCTCCCTGTTTAACTTGCCTTCACTCTGTAGTACTTCACCTTAAACTTTCTCCATGAATCCACAGATGTCTTACTCTATCGTCTTGGCATGGGAAGGCCTGGGTAGTGCTCACAGGAGGCTGGGTAACGCCACTTGAGGATTTGAGCTCAGTCCTTTATAGCTAACAAAGGTCTTTGATCCCTTTGTCATGATTCCATGTTACCTGTGAGGAAATCCATACTCAGGAAAGGTTAGTGGCTTGTCCAAGGTCACTCAGTGAGTGGCAGCCTTGAGATGGGAACTGGACTGACAACTGCAGACTTGACCACAGGACTGGGTCTGGGACAGCAGAAGCAGGAGACCTGATCTGTCAAGGCTACTCAGAGGGAGCAGCTGCTGACGTTTCCCAGGCCTGTACCTGAGGCTCCTTCCATCGCTCTCTAAACATCAGGGTCACTCTGTCTCTGACTTGTCACAAGAAACTACCGCATTTACTATCTCTGGAATTGTCTTTGCCCTAAGCACCTTGCCCTGCCCTACCAATTCCAGAGGAATGCCTCCCTGGAAGAGTATAAAAACCACAGGGTTTTATAGATCTATACTTATATTTTTACTTATTTAAATGTATTCATATGCATATGAGGAAGACTTATTAACAACCTCCGTTATGCAGATGATCCAACCTTGCTTCATGAAAATGAAGAGGAGATCAAAGACCACACAGCCTTTGGTATGGGTTGCACCTCAATGTAATGAAAACAAAAATCCTCTCCATTGGACTAATAAACAACATTCATATAAATGGAGAAAAGAATGCAGTTGTCAAAGTCTTTATTTTGCCCAGATCAAGCGTAGTGGTTAAGAGTCAGGCTGTTAACCTCAAAGTCAACCATTCGAAAAATACCAGCTGTTCTGTGGGAGGAAGATGAGGTTTTCTGCTCCTATAAAGACATATAGCTTTGGAAACCCGATGCAGGGTCGCTATGAATTGGAATCGACTCCACAGTACATCACTACCACCACCACCAAACAACCATCAACAGTCATGGGGGGTGGTGGTGGATATGGGAGAGTATGAACAGAGAGGTAGTAGAGGCAGGCAGATACTGTAGGACCTAGTGTCACACTGTAAGGATTGTGGATATTTCCTTGAGAGAAATAAAGTCATTGAGCAGAGAAGAGATATGGTGTGTTTCGAGATGGGACTGTAGGGGTCGCTGTGGTGCCCATTGCAGTAACCCAGGGAAAGATGATGGAGGTCTGGACCTAATGGAGGCAGGGAAGGTGATGAGAGTGATGGGATTCAGGATCCAATCTGAAGGTAGAACTAAAAGGATTTCCTGAAGGATCTCACGTGGGGTGTGAAAGAACAAGGAGTCAAAGATAACTCTTGAGTTTTTTAGGTTGAACCACTGGGAAGATAGAGTTGCCATTAACTGAGGTGGGAGGACTATGGGAGAAGCTGGTTTCCGGAGGATGATCAGGAGGTAAATTTTGGATATATCTTAAGTGTTCGGTGTTATCCCAGACCTTGGAGGTCCTGGTCCTCACTTCTCAACATGGTGCTACAGTCAATGTAAAAGGTGGAGGAGAGGTGGCCCAAAGGGGTCTCTAGACCCTGGTTGGCTGAGAACCATTGTTTTTCCCTAACCTACCTACAGTTTAGACACAGCCTGCCCATGTCTCCAAGCCTTCTCCATGGTACCACTTACATCACAAAGCCTGGCATGCCCACTTTGGCCAGGTTGGTCTTTCTCTCAAAGGCAGTAGAATTTGCCCCCACAGGTCTCCTGGTTCAGCTTATTTAGTATTAAAATCCCTGGTGCACCATTCCTAACAGTGGTTCTGGGCATCAGAATGCACAGATGTACCAGTCTGCCTTCTGACACCTTGAACTATTGTGACCATTTCCAAGTTGTGAAAGAAATAGCATTTAACTGGCAAATTTTCAGATCAAATGAACATTTATTGAGTGCTTACTATATGCAGAGCACTGTGTTAGACAAGACACAGAGAAGGTAGATAAAGACATAAAGGAAGATAAGCCAGTGATGGAAGAATCAGAAGGGTCCCTATCACCAAAGGGCTTACATTATAACTGGAGGTATTGTATATACAAAATTACGCCTTAAAGATACAAAACACATCAAAGCCACACTTGCAGGTGCAAAGTCACTCAGTACAAAGCAAGAGTAAATGGTGATGGGATCCAGCAGTTTCACTGTTTCACTCACTTCAGAGCCTTCTCTGTCCCCAGCTTAGGAGCCTAGTGGTTTGTCCACTGGCCCCCATGCTGTCTTGCCTCTGTCTGCTTTAGGGTGTGTCTGACCTCCATCTGGGATCAGCATAGGCATACTTCAAGGGCAGAAACTCACTCTGTGCTCTTTATTTCCTCTTGACCCTGCTGGGGCTTTCCCTGGGTCCAAGGCTCAATGCCCACCATAAGAGAGTTGGGTGCTCCAGTTTTGTTGGGGCTTCCAGGAGGACTGGTGCAGGATGGGTCTCCCTTGACTTTGGAGTGGGAAGATCATGGGATTTCCAGCCCCCCCCAACCTCCCTCTTCTTGCATTTTACCCTCCCTGTCACCTGAGTTAATATGTGTCTACACTCTAGCCAGTGAATAACTCTCCCTTCTCTTCCACCCTGGTAACCATCAAAGAATGTTTCTTTTGGCATGGAAATATTTTCTTGAGTTTCTATAATAGTGGTCTCCTTAACATTTGTCCTTTGGTGATTGACTAATTTCACTCAGCATAATGCCCTCCAGGATCATCCATGTTGTGAGATGTTTCACTTATGCATTGTTATTCTTCCACGCTGCGTAGTAGATCATAGGATTTTGAACAAAAAGGATTGAGTTCAAATCTTAGTTCCACTATGTATTAGCTGGGTGACTTTAGACCAATCTCTTAGCCTCAGTTTCTTAATCTATAAAATGGGAAGAATTATATTTGCTCTGTTTCACAGGGTTGGGATATAACTACAGGAGAGGATAGGGGAGTCCTTTGGAAATGGTAAGATCCTGCTTGGCTGAGAACCACTGTCCTTCCCTAATCTGCCTAAAGTTTTAGAATTAAATGACCTAATGTATGTAGAGCACTCAGCAGAGTGGCTGGTGACCAAGAGATGCTCAACAGCTGCCAGTTCTCCTCCACTCCCATCTCTTTGAATCCTGATTTGACCTCTGGAAACTCCCTGGGTGAAACAAAGTATGCACTGGGCTACTAATGGAAAGGTTGGTGGTTCTAACCCTCCAGCAGTGCCGTGAAAGAAAGTCCTGGTGATCTGCTTCCATAAAGATTACAGCCATGAAACCCTAGGGAACAGTTCTAGTCTGTAATATTTGGGGTTGCTATGAGTCAAAATGGACTTTACTGGCAGTAGATTTGGTTTTATGTTTTTGGACCTCTGACCTCAGTGAAATCCAGGATGCTGAACTGAAATTGAAATTCTTGAGACCTTCCTGAAGGGTGAAGTAGGATGGGATGAGGTGCCTGAGACACATCCAGGCTGGGCTCGCAGCCCTTGCTGTCTTTGAATTTCTATAGCAAGAACATCCAGCTACCAGGCATATAGTGCTGTCTTTGAATTTCTTTAGAAATACAGCCCCGGAGGTCACCTTGACCTTTGCCATGTCCCTCACCACCTGTAATGGGGCCAGGTGACTATTACTAGCAGTGGAAGGTTTAGAAGAGTCATCTTCATAGTGCCCAGGGCCCAGGGCAGCCCTTTGCTGACCCCAAAGGGAGCTTGTTCAAAGAAGGCAGGAAAGGGCATAGATGAGGGTGGGCAGCAGTGAGGGTGAGGTCATGATTATAGAGCTGCTTCAGATATCCAGTCCCTCTCTGGAGGGAGTCCAGGGAAGGCAGGAGAGGAGACTCGTGCCTGGTGCACTGCAGATGTTCAGGGAGCTCTTGTGGCTGAGAACAGAGGCAGACAGAATCCCTGAACGCATGGAGGCTGGAATTCAAGGTGTGAGCTTAGGCTGGAGGGGGAGAGAGAGAATGAATGATCTGAAGGCTGGGGGAGGAAATAGGAAAAGAGCCAATGTGAGCCAGGAGCGGTCAAGAGGCTGGACCAGGATGGGTCAACTCTAAATATGTCCTCTTCTGCCTGAGCCTCTGGCTCCTAGGGCTTTCCTTGGCATTGATTACCGGCCCAGGGAAAGGTTCCTCTGTGGCTCCCTCCAGGAAGCAGAAATCATGAAAATGATCTTAATAATGTGTGAAAATGGTATTAGGAATTACAGCTCACACAGGCACCTTTACACGTACCATCTCACTTCATGTCATTTGAGAACCACTGCACCGGCCTGGATGTTTAGAAGTCTGGGTTCTAGACTCAGACCTGAGTCTGAGTGGACAAGTCATCTCCCGTCTTTTGTGTGTGGGTTGGTCCTGAGAGGGCCAGGTAGCTGTCTTCATAGAACTGCCCAGTGGTAGGAGCTGTCGTGGGGGTTGAGGGAAGGAAGGGAGGGCTGGCAGGTTGACAGAGATTCCTGGCAAGGAGGAGCTGCTGCCTAGAGGAGGGGGAAGCTGTGTGGTAGGTGATGGAGGGGTGTTGCCTGGTGCCCATGGCTGCATGCCTGAGTGCCTTGCCCAGCAAGCTGTAGGTGTGTGCTGGGTGAGAGAGCTCACTTGCGAAATTGAGTGTCTCCTTTCAAGAAGTGTCTAGTTGCAAATCTCCCCCTCTCTCAAGACAATGGCCAGGGGCCCACAAAGATCTTTTGTTTTTTTTTCTGCCACAGTAGGAGGCTAATCTTTAGGTATGGGGCCACCACTGGAGGTGAGGGTCTCCTGCACACACGTGCTGACATGGGTCAGCGTCCCCCTTGGGAGAAGTGCTCTCTCAGGACAGAAAAAAGGTCCTTGGCCACCGTCCCTCCATTTTCCAGAGGCCGCTTCTGGGGCAACCATTCTCTGGTTGGCATCTCTCTGTCACCAGCAGTGGATCCTGACAAATATTGGGGCCCAGAGTTGCAGCTTGGGGACTTTTCCAGGAGAGCCAGGGCAGGGGTTGAAAATCAGTGCTCTACAGAGACCTTCCTGTCTCCAAGGGCTGCTAGGCAGCGTGGACTCATCCACTGCAGAGAAAGTGGATTTATTGCAGGTGGGGGAGAGAGGGGTCAAAGGGCCAGTGGGGAGTGTGACGCTGGCCGCCAGCCTTGCCAACTTTCACCACCGTGGGCGCACCTGCTCACACTTAGGAACATGCACAACCCTGAACGTGGGGCCTATAGAGAGACTCGGGAAATGCACACACTTGCACACTAGCAAATCCGTATACACCATTCCCAGACACACCAAGGGGGGTGGGTTTGTATACTCCCCGTCCACCGTGCCCGCACCAGGTGCAGGCTCTTCAGAGCATCCCCCCACTCCCACCTTCCCTTACCAGCGCGGACCCCAAGTCTCCAGCTCCTTCTGAGGGGCTAGAGGGTCCATCTCTTACCGCCTACAGCTCAGGGCAGCTGCTAGGCTTACGATACTCCCTAACCCCAAGACCCCACGCTTTTCCTCTAGCCTGTCGCCGCTTCCCACCCCTCTCACTGGCGGCCGCACGGGCATGTCCTGGAAACAATTACTCTGTACTGGGGACCGACTTCTGACCTGGGGAAAAGAGGGACTGGGTGGGCCTTCCGCCTCAGGCCGGGGCCTGGCAGGGTGGCTGGGGTCTCCGAACCTGGGTTCGCGACCTCCGGCCAGATAGACGGCCTCTCGGAGCTCCTCCGAGCCTCTGTCGGGAGGCCCTGGAGGTCCCGGCCGGGCGCGTTCAGGCCTTGCTGCCCCGCGGGAGGCTTTGCGGCGAGTGCAGCTCCACAGACTGCCGCCGCCGCACCTCGCGCTCCTCCCAGTCGGTGTCCGGCTCCAGCCCCTTCAGCACAGCCAGGCGCTCCGACAAACTCTTGGAGTGAGGGAACAGCACGTAGTTGTAGAGGAGGGAGCCCAAGATGGCTCCGACCAGGGGTCCGATCCAGAAGACCTGGGATGCGAGAGGAAGAGGCGACTGGGCATTGCGCACTCGGAGGCTCGGGGCTCGGGGTCCCAGCCCAGCTGGTATGGGGCCGCTGCTGGGGTGTGAGGCACACTGTGGGGACTGAACCCGTCTTCCACGCTAAACTCGCAGGCCCAGGACCATCTCCTCTCCTTACTAATGCGATTAATGTACTCAAATAAAATACTTCTTCATGTAGTTAGTGATGGAGTCCCTGCGTGGTGCAAACGGTCCCTTCCAACTTGCCGCGATCTTATAGAGCTGAGTAGAACTGCTCCATAGGTTTCCTAGGCTGTAATCTTTACAGTGCAGTCTGATACACCTTTCTCCAATGGAGCCTTTTAGCATGAGAATGCCACCACGGCTCCTTCCACCAAGAGGGCTCTCCAAAAAGGTCTGGTGATGTACTTCTGAAAAGCCAGTCACTTAAAATTCTGTGGAGCACACAGTTCTACTCTGACACACATGGGTAAGACACACATAAGTAAGAATCAACTCTATGGCAGTTGGTTTGATAGTACCGACAACACTCTAGCTGTTGGGGAAGATGAGCTAGTGTGGACTGGTTAAGGGTGTGAATTCTGAATGTAACTACCTGTGGTGAATCCTGATCCCACTTACATGTGTGCATAGACAAAGTTCTTACCCTCCTTGTGCCTCTGTTTCATTATAATAATACCTAGTTGTGGCACTGGAGGATAAGCACTGGACTGCTAACTGCAAGACCAGTGGTTCAAACCCACCAGCCGCTGCTTGGAAACCCTATACAGGGTCAACAACAGCAAGGTAGTTATGAAGGGAGAGCAGTGGCTCCGTAAGATAAGCACAGGACTACAAACCACACAGTGGTTCAAGCCCACCAGCCAAGCCCACCATGGGAGAAAGATGAAGCTTTCTGTTCCCGCATAGATTTGAAAAAAGCCTCAGAAACCCTACGCAGGGTTGTCATGAGTCAGAACCAACTCAAGTGTACTAACAACAACAATAACAAGGTCATTATGAAGATTAACCGAATTAATATCAGCAAAACACTTAGAAGATCTAGCACATACTAAGTATGCGCTAAATAATTTAGCACTAAATAAGTGCTAAATAATAAAAAGTGTAAACTGTTAGCTATTGTAAATAATAAATGTATTGAATTCTAAGTGTACAACACTGTATAAGCTGTTATACGTGGGTTGTTGTTGTTAAGTGCCATCAAGTCAGTTCTGACTCAGCGACTCAGTATAGAGTTCCTGAGGAGCGGCTGGTGAGCTTGAACCGCTGACCTTGCTGTTCAAACCGACCTTGCATTAACCCACAACGCCACACCAGGAATCCATACATGGGTAATCTCACTTAATTTTTCTAAGAAACCAATGAGGTAAGAACTGTTACTAACTGAGTCCTTGGTGTCAGATTCAGAAGGTGGAACCCAAGACTCCGCAGGGTCCCAGAAGGAGTGTGAAAGGTTTGGGGCACAGCTGATGACCCCCACCCCACCCTGGACCACTGTCTTCTAGCTCTTGTTCTCTCTTTGAGATGGGTTTCAGGGGAGGGGGAGGTGGAGGAGGTTCAGCCATTACCCAGTGGTCCTCAAACTTGCCGGTGACGACAGCTGGAGCCAGGGAGCGGGCAGGATTCATGGAGCAGCCAGTGTAGTGGATCTACAGTAGGAGACAGGGGTCAGGGAACGAAGGGAGATGAGAATAGGGCAGGGAGTCCTTGCCCACTTCTTCAACGCTTGGGCTTAACCTGCCTAAGTGTTGGATATGAGACAAACAATGAAGGTCATGTTATATTTACAGGGCTGGAGTGATAGCTATTCATTGTTATGTCTGGGTTTCAGTCTCTCTAGGGATGTGTCTATATGTCTGTCCTTCGGGGGGGTGGGGTCTTTGTGTCTGTCACTTTTGGGTTTCTGTGTAGCTGTGTATAGCGTGGTCTTTGTGTCTGTTTAGGGAGGATCTGTGTGTCTGTCCCTCCAGGGAGGCTAGAACCAGTGGCCATGACCTACCCCAAGGAGGTGACCCAGGGCCACAGAGAAACCGATGGAGAGGGCAGGGGTACCCAGGTTGTCTCCACGGCGGTCATCGGTGGAGGCGAAGATGCAGAGCACCAGCTGCAGGGTCAGGAAGAGCTCTACAGTTACAGCCTGGCCAGCCGTTGTGTTGTTGCTGAGCTAGGGACAGAGAGGGAGTGGGGTGGGGAAAACACTGTGTATAAGACCCTCACTTGCTTCATATTCCTGCCCAAGTCTAGTTTAGCTTCCAGGGAGGCCTGAAAGCCAGAACACCTGGGCTCTCCAGCCACCTTCACACAAGCTACTGGAACCTTCGTCAGGGTCCTGGCTCGTGAGCAGGAGGATAGATCCCAGGACTACCCATGATCCTCCAGGCAGAGATAGGAAAACTGACTCCATGGCCCATTAGATTTGGAGGCTGGAGTTCTGGACCTAAAGTGTGAGAGGAAAAGAAGTTGCTGTTTGATCCAGAAGTTTTGTTTCTTAAAGAACAAGAAGGAAAGAGGTTTCAATCACAGTAGGAAGCTTTTGGCCAGGTAACAGGAAGGCCTTCCTCTCTGTCTAGGTCATAAGATACGTATTGAAATGACTGTGGTCTTTCCATGGTCACAGAAACAGGGATAGAGTCTAGAGACTGGCCTTTGAGGCCTTGGATCTGGGGTCTGGATTCTAGGGTACCCACTCTCCTCATGAGTCCAACATGTAACGTCACCCTAAGATTGGTCTGTTCCTCACTGTGTTTTCAGTTTTACACTGGGTCTGCTCCCTGCTTCTCCTGTGAAGGTTGGGGGTGGGGACAAAGGAGTCCTATACATTGAAGTTCCATAGTCATGTGGAATGTCCATGATTCCTTTGCCTTGGGTGAGGAGAGAACTTGAGGACAGAGCAACAAGATGATTTCATAACTGGGCTGTGCCCAGCATTGGATTTCTCTTAGGATTGTCATCCTGTGCCCTACACCCTGACCCCTGGGTGGAGCTATAACAACTCTAGTCTTCCAGGCCCTGCACCCCTGGCCCTGGGTCCTAGTTGTCAAGCTGCTGCTCTTGGGTCTGTAGGATCTAACCTACATCCATCCATCCTGTTGTTCAATCGCAGAGCCTATAGTGGGAGCAGTGGAGAGAACTTTGGAGGCAGCCACTTGTGGGATTTTATTTATACAACCTTAGTTTTTCCCTTCTTGAAAATGGGATTTTAAAAAAAGCAAACAACAACAAAAAACACCTGATTTCTGGAGGACTGTGAGAATTTCAGATGACAAGTACAGAGCCCCAGCCCCAATTCTGTTGTTGCATGGCTGCCCTCAGGGAGATGTATGGATGTAGGTTTGGTGTCAGACAACTCTGGGTCATGTTGCTACTTACTGTTTTTTTTGATTTGGGATAATTGGATGCTGAGTCTTAATTTACCACTCAGAGAGGGGAGATCACAGACTTTACAGTTTGTACCAAGGACGAAGTTACATTTGGTCTGGCACAGAGTAGGTGACCATCAATGGTAAGTCTTCTAGTGGTCAGCATGGCCTTGGGGAGTCATCCCAGCTCTTCCTAACTTCAGGGTAAGTCAACCCTGCCACAGACCTACTCCAGTCAGGCAGGGTTCTCCCCTAGTCCACAAGATGGTAAACACTGAGCAATAGCTTGGGGAAACTTTCCAGACCTTCCTTCTGAGGGCTTGGTGATCCCCGTGGTCTCTTAGTGTCCCTAACCCCCTGCAATTAGAGAAGAATCCCTAGCCTTACATCCTGAGGCTTTCTTTTCTTGTTTTAATAAATGTTTTATTGTGAATTGTGTGATAGTTTACATGGAAGAACATAGGTTTTACATTCATTCTATCATACATCGTTTCATTGCCATAGTTACCATCCCGTCCTTGCATCATCACCCAACTGAAGGGTATACCCTGCAAGCCTGCCCCCTTCCCCCTTCCCCCCCCCCTCCCCCGGTCCTCATAGCCCCATTCCCTCTCTGGATCCCAAGTCCCCAGCCACTCCATCTCTTCACATCATCTTCTCTGCCTCCATCTCAGGCCTCACTGCTTCTCTGGGTAGGGTCCCGCTCTCCGCTCTTCTCCATTGATAGTTCCAGGGCCCTCCGCTCCTAGACTGAAAAGTTAATCACTCCCCTCCTTGCTATAAAATGTTCACCTTTACATTTCCAATCTGAAGCTTTCTTGACCAAACTTTCAAAAAGTTCTTCTTACAGTCTAACTAGACCTCTCCTTGCTGCAAACAGAACTAATTTTGTTCACAGTGGTAATGGGCACACTCTTCAATCTGTCCACTACCTTGACCACTCTAGTCTTTTTCCAGTCCTAGGCTCTTAGCCTCATATGTTTTCCATTTTGAAGAAAAGAGTTTGATAACAAGAATACCTCTGTCCCTTGCATGAGGAATGGTCACTTGTATAAAAGAAGGATGGCCACCATACAGGAAATCAGAGCTCTTTCCCAGTGGCCAGAGGACAAAGCAGGCCAGGGAACGGGGGATACTAGGAGCTGAAAAAGGCAGCAGCTGTCCTGGCTGGGGGTGGGGGTGGAGTGAGAGCACAGACCATCTCTCCTTACTGGTACCACTCAGACTCCCAGGCCATGCTTGCACAGGCCCTGAAGGGGTGTGTGAAGAGGAAGACTTAGATCATTACCCGCATCTTCCAAAGTGGCCCACTTAGCCACTGTTCCACGGAATCAGAACTAAACTCCCTGGCTCCAAGAACCTTCTCCAGGATCCAGAGAGGCCTAGCTCCCACATCGTTCACCAGGATTCCAGTTCTTTCTCTGGTATTAATGAAACTGGGGAACTTTTAGCTTATCATGTCCCCTCGCTGAGTCTCAGTTTCCTTGTTTGCAAAATGAGACTTAGAAGATGGCTCAGGGAGGGAACATTGGTCAGACTTTTGCAGTCAAGCTGGGGTTTGAGGGCTGTCTCTGATATGTCTCCTTCCTGAGACTCAGTTTTTACATTCTTGAGAAATGGATATGCTCAACCCTCCCTTGAAGGGCTGTTGTGAAGGGTGAGTGTGCTTGTGTTGTGAAGGGTGAGTATATAGCTTGTGAGGAGCACCTGTCATGGGGTCAAGGACACAGGAAGTGCTGAAGGACAGCTGGGTCCCTTTCCCCCCAGAAGATTCTGGTAACTGTCTCTTGATGAGTTCTAGACCAGTCCATTGATGCCTTGATGCTGCTCTTCCTCCATGAGGCTCAGGACAGAAGCTACGGGCAGACTGTATTCTGCATCTGTTCTGACTTTGTTTCTCCTCTTACACTGATTCTCCTGTGATTGTGTTCCTACATTCAGCCTGTCTCTCTCCCACCCAAACTCTCACTCATGCTATCCTTTACAGGGAACACCCCAGGATCTGTTTCTTGTAGAAGAAGTGAAGCTCTGGCGACTCACCGCATTGACAGCCAGGTCCCCACGAATGTCTGGTGGTGTGAGTTCATGGAGTAGGGCAGCTCCGGCCACGGCCCCCAGCAGCTGGGCAGCCACGTAGAAGGTGGCTCGGAGAAAGGAGACGTGGCAGCCCACGAGGCAGGCCACAGTCACAGCAGGATTGATGTGGGCCCCGCTGATGTGACCTAGGGTCTGCACGAGGGTGCCGATAGCTAAGCCGAAAGCCATGGCAATCTGCAGCACAGAGGGCAGGGCCTGTGGCCAGTTGAGGGCTGAGCCAAGACCAAAGAAGACAAAGAGGAGAGTGGCCAGGAACTCGGAGAACACGGCCCTGGAGAAGGCTATGGACCGGAGCTCCCACATGCTGTGGAGCCTTCCCTGGGCCCGCTTAGCGGTCCTGAGGAAGCAGGTCTGTGGCGCTCTTGTGCTTTCTCAGGGTCTCTAGGGAGGCCTGATGTCGGGCATTTATAGGGTTCTTTCAGCCAGAATTTGCACACGTGGGGCGAAGGTGGAGTTTAGTGTCCCTCTCCTCCTCCCCCACCCCCTACCAGCCCACCCGCATGCCTATCACCCCATCTAGGCCTTCACAGCTGACTAATGTTCCCCATTAAAGAGCTCCAGATAAGGCTTGACGTCCCCTGGTTTTCCGTGTTTGTTCCCTCAGTTATCCCAGGTCTGCTGCTCCCTACCCCCCTCACATTCTCATCTGGTTCTATGAATGGGAACCCCTTAGGGGATGTGTCCAACCCCCTTTCTCTGACTCAAACATTTGGCCAAGGCAGTGCCAACACCTCACCCAAAATTGACTATGAGAGATGTCAAAGCTACCTCTTCTCATGACTGGGAAGTTCTACCTGCTGTCTGACCTCTAATTTTTTTCCCTTCTGATGGGGATGGAAAACAACTGGTTGGCTTGTGACTAACATTTTAAAGCATAAAGAGTTTGTGTCTTGTTCTGGTTTTGCTTTCTTGCAGTCAATCACCCATAAGTCATTAAGCTTTTCTTACCTCCTCCCTGGAACCATAGCCAAATGGCCGCTCCCATAGCCTGGAGGCAGGGGTATGGTTTCAGTGGTCTGGACCTGGGTGATGGAGTCAACCTGGGGTCGACTGAGGAAACTGAGGTCTTTCTACCATTCCAACATCACCTGTTCCATCTCTGTGATTTAATCCTTCTTGTCATAGTCTATTATATGGGGATATTAACAAACCTGCCTTGTGGGATTGGAGTTTGGATTTAAATGAAATAGTGTATGTAAAGTACTCAGAGTAGAACCTGGCCCACGTAAGCCCTCAATAAATATGTTATTATTAGCAATGGAGTCCTGATGTAGCGCTGTGGGTTAATGTGCTAGACTGCAAAGTCATTTGAACTACAAGGTCGGCAGTTCAAGCTCACCAGTTGTTTCTTGGAAACCCTATACAGGGTCACTATGGGTTGGAATTGACTCGACGGCACATAACAACAACAACTTATTAGTAATACTATGTAAACTGTGAGAAGGAGAGCAGGTCTCCCTAAACACATGTCCAGGTTCCAGAAGCACCTCCAGTGTTTAGAGTCGTCCAGGTCGCAGAGCCAAGACATATCTGTGGGCAGTGAACTGGGCAGGCTCCAGAAGGCTACAATGCCCAATAAGTGGCTTCTTGAACTCTGTGTCCACTCAGCCCTGCCTCAGGGCAATGCCACCTCCTACCACCGATGCCATTGTGGCCTCTGGAGCCCAGGAGGTGTTCGGGTCTGGTAGTTCCCAACTCCACTCCCCAGCTTTTCCCTAATCCCACTAGGCCTGTTACTGCAGAAATGCCTTTTTCTCTTTTTCTCTCTCCGGGACCCAAAGGCAGGGGAAGGCATAGAGTGGGGACAGGTGACCTGTTTCTGAATCCTGCTCTGTCTCTCCTGTGTAGCAGGATCCTGGGCAGTCCGAGGAACAGAGATTTGGGAGAAACTGGAGATGATAGAATTGGAATGGAGGCCCCTTGTTGTATCAAGGGAAGCGACCCTGGAGGGTAAATGACTTATCCAAAGTAGTTCAGTAAATTAGTGTCTAACCTGCAACTGGAACTTGTTCTGCAGGGTTTTTTTTTAAACCACACCTAACAAGGTCGGGTCACATTCCAAGTCTCAGTTTCTTTTACTGGACATTGGGAATAATGATGCCTACTCCACAAAGTTGTTGTGAGGATGAAGTTAGATAATGAATGGGAAAGTATTTTGCAGTTGAGAACACATCATAAGTACATATAGGGACTTGGGGCTTCTGCTATAGGAAGTGGAAGGGGAGGAAAGAAGAAGGAAACAACCCAAATCGAACAGAACATTTCAGGAGAGCAGGGATTTTTGTGGGGTTTGTTCCCTTATGTCTAAGGGGGCTTCAAAAGTTCATGGAATGAAAAGAATGGACTTTTTCTATGAACTTTTGGAAGCCTAATATTCCCAGTGCCTAAAACAGTGTCTGACACATCAGTAGGTGGAAAACCCACTTCTGAATGAAGACAATGAAGACTGGGGGCAACCCAAATGAAGTGGAACCTGGATGGTGGTCAAAGACTGCATATTCCCCATCCCTTTCTGCCCACTCACTGCCCACTTTCTGTTTCTAGCACTCAAAGTAACTCCAAGAAAAATGCCTCCCTGGATTCCCAAATATACTCTCAAGCGCTAAGCTGCTGTGTGTTCTTGGATGAGTCACTCATCCTTGCTGGTCTCTCTAAAACATTTCTGGTCTCTAGAAAGTCCACCAACCCCTGATTCTGGGAAAATCTCTCTGACACTTGTTGTTAAGTGCCATCCAGTTGGTCCTGACTCATGACCATGTATAGGGTTTCCAAGGCTGTAAATCTTTACGGGAGCAGAGAGCTTCATTTTTCTCCCATGTTGTGGGAGTAGATTTGAACCGCTGACCTTGTGGTTAGCAATCCAACATATAACCACTGTGCTACTAGGTCTTCTACCATTGTTGTTGTTGTTGTTAAGCGCCATCAAGTCCATTCCGACCCATAGTGAACCTATATAGGGTTTTTGAGGAACAGCTGGTGAGATTGAACTGTCAACCTTGCGGTTCAAAGTACAGTTCAGCGCATTAACCCACAGCGCCACACCAGGACTCCATAAAATATGGAAATCTCTTACCTCCCAAATAAACTCAGAAAAGGCATTAAGACTCCTCTTTGAAGCCCTTTAAGTCCAGACCCAAATTTTTGTGTGGGTGTGTTCATTCAGTCACATAATCATGGAATTCAAAACTTGATGATGTCTTAGTCTCTGGAACATAGATTGAAAGTCAATTCCTGAGAGACTGTGACTTGCTGGGTCTCCCAGCTTGCAGTGCCTATAGAACTCAGGCTCAAGATCTGGTCCCAAGTTTGGGAAAGGGAGGGACCCCAACTACAACAGTACACCCACTTGTGCCTGTCATTTGATTTTTCTTTGCAAAAGGGAGGAAGAAGGTGTCCCTGTCAAGACTGGTCTGACTCATGTCTGTGGTTCCAGGTGGCTGGCAGAACTTCAAGCAGGGGCTGTACTTTGCTGACCATGATCACCACACCTTGTCTTATGGAGTCCACAGTGCCACCAGCTGTAGCATGCACTACCAGTTGTTGTTGTTAGATGCACAACAGAACGAAACACTGCTCAGTCCCGTGCCATCCTCACAATTGTTGTTAGGCTCAAGCCCATTGCTGCCGCCACTGAGCCGATCCATCTTACTGGGGGTCTTCCTCTTTTTTGTGGACCCTCCACTTTCCCTTCTCTAGGGACTGGTCCCTCCTGATAGCATGTCCAAAGTATGAGAGACAAACTCTCCTCATCCAGTCTTCTAAGGAGACTGTACCTTGTCCAACACAGATTTGTTTGTTCTTCTGGCAGTCCATGGTACTTTTAATAATTGCCTCCCAACACTGTAATTCAAATGCATCAATTTTTCTAGGGTCTTCTTTATTCATTGTCCAACTTTCACATGCATGGAGGCTACTGAAAATACCATGGCTTTGGTCAGTTGTACCTTAGTCCTCACACTAATGTCTTTACTCTTGAACACTTCAAAGAGGTTTTGTGCAGCAGATTTGCCTAATGCAATACGTCATTTGATTTCTTGGCTGCTGTTTGCATGCGTTCTAATTGTGGACCCAAGCTAAGTGAAGTCTTAGACAACTTCAATCTTTTCTTCGTTTATCATGACATTATTTACTGTTATCTTTACATTGAGGTGCAACCCATATTGAAGGCTGTAGTCTTTGATTTTAATCAATAAGTATATTAACTCTTTTTAGCTTTTGGCAAGCAAGGTTGTATTATCTGCATTTCACAGGTTGTTAATGAGTCTTGCTCCAATCCTCTTGCTACATTCTTCATATAATCCAGTTTCTCAGAATAAAGACTGAATAAGTATGGTGAAAGAGTACAACAACCCTGGCACATGCACACCTTTCCTAATTTTAAACCATTCAGTGTTCCTTTGTTTTGTTCTAACATGGTCTCTGTACAGGTTCCTCATGAGCTCAATTAAGTGTTCTGGAGTACTTATTCTGTCGATGTTATCCTTAGCTTGTCATGATCCACACAATCAAAAACCTTCACATAGTCAATAAAACACAAGTAAACATCTTTCTGATATTCTCCGCTTTCAGTCAAGATCCTTCTGACATCAGCAATGATAACCCCTCATTCCATGTTCTCATTTGAATCCACCTTGAACCTCTGGCATTTCCTTATTGATAACTGCTGTAGTCATCTTTGAATTATCTTCATCAAAATTTTACTTGCATGTAATATTAGTGATATTCTTAGATGATTTCTACATTCTGTTAGGTCACGTCTCTTTGGAATAGGCATAAATATGGATCTCTTCCAATCAGTTAGCCAGGTAGCTGTCTTCCAAATTTCTTGGCATAGATGAATGAGTGCCTCCAGCATTGCATCAGTTTGTTGAAAATTTTCAATTTGTATTCCATCAATTCCTGGAAATTTGCTTTTCGCCAATGCCTTCAGTGCAGGTTGGACTTCTCTCTTCAGAATCATTGGTTCTTGACCATATAGTACTTCTTGAAATGGTTGAACATCTACCATTTCTTTTTGGTATAGTGACTCTGTGTATTCCTTCCATCTTCTTCTTTTTTTTTTTT